ATAACTCTGTGTGCACATTAATTAAAGGCTTACTGTGTGTGGACACTGTTCTATGTGTTTTACGTGAATTATCTTGTTTAACTCTTACAATGACCCTATGAGGTAGGTACTATTACTATCTTCGTTTTTATAGATGATCTCACTTTCTTAGAAAAGGAATCCAAGAAACAGAGAGGTTAAATAATTTGTCCAAAGTTACAAGGAACAGAGCTGGGATTCAAACTCAGGCATTTGAGGCTCGAATCACTATACATCGGCATAGGTATGGACATAGATCTGTCCAGACCTGTATCATCACGGAATATCAACATGGGCAAGTGCAGTGGTATGCTGGTCAATATTTAACCACCAGGTCTTAAGGGGGGAAAAAACCTGATTTGTATTGTTTGCTGATTTCTGTGTAAACACTCCTCCCATGGCCAATCTCAAGTTACCAACATGCTGTCACTGAACTGAAGGAGCTATTGGTGAGTAACACCATTATAGAGTATTCCCACCATAGTGATGTAATAGAAGTAAATAACCTCTAGACCATAGATGATGGTAAAATGTAGTAAAATAATTAGGAAATGATGATTTTGGAGTATTTATTACCTTTGTTTTAAATATAACTTATTAAAAATTATTTATTTATTTGTAAGCTTACAATTTAATTTTTTAAAAAAATATTTTTTTATTAATTTCAGAGAGGAAGGGAGAGGGAGAGAGAGAAACATTAATGATGAAAGAGAATCATTCATTGGCTGTCTCCTGCATGCCCTCTACTGGGGATAGAGCCCACAACCTGGGCATGTGCCTTGACGGGAATTGAACCTGGGACCCTTCAGTCCGCACGCCGACGCTCTATCCACTGAGCCAAACCGGCTAGGGCACAATTTAATTTTTTAAGTGATGGCTCTATTTAACAATAGGCTTGCAAAATTCCTGAAACTTCAACCACCAATGTTAAGCCGATTCCATCTCACCACTGGACACTTGTCTCTGTATGTCCCATTGCATTGCCAGGTGTGTCTCTCTGCACCCATGCGTGGGGCGTGTAATAGCTCCTGTCCAGGTGTGGCGCTGTGGGCATGCAGCTTGAAGTGCAACGTGTTTGTTTGTATTTGTGAAATGATGCCTGGGTTATAACGTCTGAATGTGTAAGCGTAGCTGTTGAGTTTGTAGTTCTGCATGTCTGAGTATTGCTTCTTGTCTGCATGCACACGTGTGCCCGTGTAACTGTCTCTGTGTATCTTTCTGTAAATATAACGGCCAGTGTAGCTATCACGTCAGGGTCAGTAACCATGTCTCATATGCAATTATGTTCGTAGTCGCTTGTTCAGTTGTTGTTGTGTGGTCGTAGCTATATTGTTGTAATTGTGTAGCTGTGACCTGGCGCTTGTATGTTGAAGCTGTTTCAATGGGTGCACGCTGACACCGTCTGACAAAAGCCCTACCGTGCTAGGCCTTCAGTAATTGGCAGTGCCCCCTGGGCCTGAGTGGCAACGTGGAGGATCCGTCTTATTTCAGGAAGCGTGTCCTCCTCTCCCTAACCACCCCTGGCGGCCCATTTTCACTCCTGGAGCAGCCCCACCCTTCTTGATCACATGCCCAGAGCTCTGTGCCCACTCAGACGCTGGGAGAAGCCCAGGCACAGACGTGGCTGCAGACTGGCTCTGAGCTCCGGGGAACCTGTGGCCAGACTTGCATCTTTCCTGGGCAGAGCTCTGAATACTTCCACAGGAACACATTCCAAGGGACACCATTTCCCTTCCCATTGCATAGAAGAGGAAAGGCAGGCCCAGAGAGGGGAGGTGGTGGGCCTGTGGCCATAGGAGAGCGAGGGGAAGCCAGGGCCAGTCCCCTCCTTCTCAGCCGGAGCTCTACTCACAACCAAGCTGCTTCTCTCCGGTCTCCTACGCTTCCCCACCCCGTCCCCCACCCTCCACCCGTCTCCCGAAGAGGCCCACAGTCTCCTGGCCCAAGCCAGGGTCAACAAGGAGCGGGGCTGGGGTAACCAGTCTACTTTCTGTGGAGTTTAGCTAGTTTAGCTCAGAAGATGGGGTTTGGGCTCTGCTGCCCCAGTTGGAAAAGTGCCCACCCGCGCCCCCCACTTGTGGCTCAGTTTGTGTCTCTGTCTTTGGAAGATCCGGAATGGGGGTGGGCGGAGGCTGGGATGTCAGCGTGAGAGCTGCCCGCACTCGGTAGGTTTCTGTTTCCTGGGGCTGTGCAGAAGCTGGTCTCATTTTCTAACTCCCAGCTGGCACCGTCCCAAGTCCTACTAAGGGTTTCAGACCTCTTCACCCGCGCGCCACAGCCAATCTCAGCTCTTCTCACAGACGAAGACACGGAGGCAGTAACATCAACTCATTACCACTCATGTCTACTCTAGGGCTTCCTGACCCTCCACGTTCCAGCGACGCCTCTCTTTTCTCTGCTTTAAACCCTCTTTGACGGTCCACCCCTTTCCCCGAGTTCCTAGGGTCACAGAGGCCTCGGAAACGCAAGTCCTGCTCCAGCACACCCTACGGATGGTGGGGAGAGGAAAGCCCTGGGATAGGGGAGATGGGGGGCGAGGGGCGAGGGGCGAGGGGCGGGAGCATGCCCGCAGGGCCACCCTCCCCCCTTTTCCTTCCCTGGGTGTGCCCAGATCCTCCCTGCACGAAGGCCAAGTTTGCTCTGGCCGGGCAACCCCGCGGCGCCAGTCGTGAGGCAAAGATCACGGGAGAGTATCAAACATTAATCTGCACGTCGGCCGGGGCGGCGCCCCGTGCCGCCCGGAATCCGCAGATAGGACCGCCCGCCCCCGCCTGACTCGCATCAAGCTCCGGGCGCGCACAGCCCAGCCTCCAGCGCCCCCTCCCCCACCCCGGGCCCAGGGCTGCGGCTGCCCCGCACCTGTTCGGCCCCGCGGGCGCAGGCCCCTCCTCGCGGCCAAGGGAAGGGAAAACTGCAAACAGAACCGCTCCTGGCGCCCCGAAACTGTGAGGTCGCGGGACCCGTGGCCCTTCACTCCTCCCCCCAGAACCGCTCCGGGTGCGGGGCAGACGCGGCTCCACACCCTCACGAGCTCAAGTTTCCTGGACGCTTCTGGGGGCCACCAGGATGGGGCTCCACCCGCCCCGCCGTCGCCTCCACGGTCCTGGCCGTGCACACGTTGTCCGTCCCGGGCCTCGGAAGGTCCTTTTCCACGTCCCAGTCTCTTCCCTCGCCTTCCCGGACCTGCACAAGCTACCCGGGGCCCTGGACCCGACGCGTCCAGAGGTCCATGCACAAGCCTCGTCTTCGGGGCCGAACTCTGCCCACCCCGGGCACCCCGGGCCATGCACACGCCCACTCGGAGGTGCCCCGCGGTCCCCACGGGGCGCTGAGCCCTGCCCCGCTGCGCCTCCCTCGGGCCCGAGTCCCGCGCGCCCCGCCAGCTCGCGTCCCCCGGACTCCCCGGTTCCCCTGGGCTGCGCCTCCCGGGGTGGGACGCCGTGGCCCAAACTCTGCAGCCTCACCGTGTGCTTCCTGGCTACCATCTTCTCCAGCTTTTTGGCGATTCTCAGCAGCTCCTCTTCCCGGCCCATGTCGGCTCGCGACGCCCCACGGACCAGGGGCGCAGGGGCAGCAGCCGGGCCTCGGGGGCGGGAGGCGCGGAGGAGGAGGAGGAGGAGGGCGTGCAGCCCGCGCGGGACGCAAACACACGCGCACACACGTCTGGCGGGGGCGGGGTCCCCCTCTCCGCCCGCCGGCCTGCGAGGCGGGGGCGGGGTGGCGTGCACTAAATATAGATTTCAAGGACTTGTCAGGGCAAAGATTGCCGGGGCGGCCAGTCCGGCCTCCCGAGCCGGACGAGGCTGCGAGAGAGGACTCTCCCCTCCGGCCCCTCCCGGCCTGGGGTGGGGGTGCTGATGGGAGGTTTGGGGAGGGGGGCTCTCTGGCGAGTCGGGAGGCCGTCGTCCCGGGACACAAAGGGCTGTCGCGGGGAGAAGGGCGCCCGTGTGCCCGGGAGCTCCGGCCGGAGTTCAGGGCCCCGGGTATCTGCACCGTTACTGTGCAGAGCGCGCGAACCCAGCTCCGTGCCTGTGCCCAAGTGGAGGCGACCTGGTGCGCTCAGACCACATTTTAGGGCATGACCGTTAAAGCCAGCTCCGCCCGGCCCTGCGGTGCTCGCTCACATCCTGAGCGCACGCGAATCCAGGCCCCGTTTCCGACTATTTTGTAAGGGTGAGAGTTTGCATTTCCAACAAGGTCCTGGAGGGATGTGTCCGGTGCTGCCGGTCCCAGGACTGCGCTGAGGAGGGAGGACCTGGGAGATTCTTAAGTGCACAAAACTGAGAAATACTGATCCAGGTGCACAGGCGCCCTCGATTCAGGGTCAGGGCACTGCCTCCCCCAAGGGATGGAGTCTGGAAGGGTCATCTTGGTGCAGAGAAGGAAACAAACAGAATTGTGCCGCCACAGTGTGCACACATCTGTGTTTCTGAGGAAGGGGCTTTCCAAGGGTCCCTGGCAGACCCATGCCTCTTCCTAAACAAGTGAGTTTAATGGACAGAAAGTTATCTTGGGGGGCCGTGCTTAGGGACCTGGAGGGGAGGCATGAAAAGTGGTCCACCGTGTGTACAGGGTGGGGAGTTGTGGTTTGGAATGTTCAGTGAAATCCCCACACTCTCCTGATAGAACCTTAGAAAACCCTACCCCAGCCCCAGCACAGAGACAGTGTGGTGTGGACTCCTATGGCTTCTAACTGCTGCTGTGTGTCCTGGGATAGAGGTAGGAAGGGGTGAGGTTTTTCATTCATTCAGCAAATGTATGGAGCATTCAAGCAATGACCAAGACATACCCAGTCCCAGCAGGCTTGAAATTGGGTCTGTGGGCAAGAGACACCTTCAATAAATAAGGACAGAGCCAATTCTGTATTACCACAACTGGGGTGAGGGGCAGCAAGCAGGGGAGGATACCTTAAGGACACATTGGAGGGGTGGGGGGGGGTATCATCTCCTCTGAAGAAACAAAATTTAAATTTTGGGCAGAAGTGCAGAGTGGGAGTTGGAGGCAGGACGAAGAGAGTGTTCACATAAGAGAAGAAAGATTCATTCAGTTTATCAAGCACCTACTATGTGCCAGGCGGTTCTAGCCCTGGGCATCCAGAGAGGAACGAAGCAGTCCTCCTGGAGTTTCAAATGTGCAAAGCTTAGGGATGGGAGGGTACCTGGCATGTCAGGGTTGCAGGAACTGAAAAATTGGTGTGGCTACAACACGGAGGTGAGAAGAGTGTAGAGAGAAATGACAGAAAATCAGAGATGGTTGGGGCCTGACCACGTAAAGCATTGTAGGCTACTTCTAAAAGGTTAGACTAATGGTTTGGGATTTGGGGAGGTCTCTTGGCCAACCTCCAAGCAAGCTCCTCTAGGTTGAAGGGACAGCTGCCTGCAGTTACTAAGGATTGCCTTTAAAAAGAGAAAGAACAAATGTGCTTTTGGGCCTCAGCTTGGAGAAGACTTAGGTGAAACTTGCCCTAATCAGAGTTCATCTGACACCGGTTGCCTCCACCACACACGGGTGGGGAAGTGATGCCACATCTTCCCTGGCCCCCAAGATTGGCCTCCTGGGTGTGTCTCCAAAAAAGGTCAGTGACGACCTGGCCAAAGCAACTGGTGTTTGGAAAGGTCTTAGGATTAGAATGAAACTGACCATTCAGAACAGAGAGGCCCATATTGAGGTAGTACCTTCTGCCTCTGCCTTGATCATCAACGCCCTCAAAGAACCTCCAGGAGACAGAAAGAAGCAAAAACAAACAAACAAAAAAACATTAAGCACAGTGGAAATATCACTTTTGATGGGATCGTCAACATTGCCCAACAGATGTGTCACCAATCTTTAGCTAGAGAACTCTCTGGAACCATTAAAGAGGCCTGGGGCCAGCCTAGTCTGTGGGCTGCAATGCTGCCATCCTCATGACATCACAGATGACATCAACAGTAGTGCAGTAGAATGCCCAGCTAATTAAGAACTACAAAGGAAATATTTTAATTAAAGATCATTTGATAACAAAACAAAAAGAACAAACAAGTTTCATTTTTCTCAAATTTCCACCAGTTCTCACTCTGAGTTGTATGACAACAACAACAACAAAAAGTAAGCCCTGACCGGTTTGGCTCAGTGGATAGAGCGTCGGCCTGCAGACCGAGGAGTCCCAGGTTCGATTCCGGTCAAGGGCATGTACCTTGGTTGTGGGCACATCCCCAGTAGGGGGTGTGCAGGAGGCAACTGATCAATGTTTCTCTCTCATCGATGTTTCTGACTCTCTATCCCTCTCCCTTCCTCTCTGTAAAAAATCAATAAAATATATTAAAAAAAAAAAGTCAAGACTCTTACATTATCAGGGCTCAGAAGACCCTTAGAAAATGAGTCCAACCCCTTCATTGTACTGATGGGAAGACTGAGGCCCAGGTTCAACTGTTTCAGACACTGTTGGTACCCATCATATTCTCTCTGCTCTCTGCCTACCTGTCCTCCCCGGAGGTTGCCTGCAGGCAATTCCTGGACGAACTCTGACATCTTCCCACTTCGCTTGGGGCAGACTGGAAGAGCTTGGGAATGAACACCTCCAGTAAGGACCTGCCCAACCAATAAGAGACCAGAGTTTGTGGTAAAAACACTGATTTCTTCACTCAGTGGGACAACTTGAAGGCATGTTCTAATCTATATGGTCTCTCAAAGGTTCCCCAATAAGGTAACCTAGATAGTGATAACCCTTCAGTAACACACCCTTTTTGCTTCTTGACCTTCTTTCTGTCTTCCTGGGATCACCTCACAAGTAAACTACTTGCCCCCAAATACCTGTCTCAGGGGAAATCAAATGGAGACAAGAACTGGGCAGAGCTAAACTGCAGGTGTCCTCACTCCTGGTCCAGTGGTCTTTCCTCCCCACCAGGGTTTCTCAGTCATGGCACGGTTAACACTTTGGACTGGGTAAGTCATTGCTGTGAGGGGGTGACCTGTGTACTGTAGCATGTTTAGCAGCATCCCCGACCCCTAGCCACTAGGTGCCAGTAGCACCATGCCACTGGGAGCAATACAAAAATCTCTGCACCCCCAAATGGCTCTTGGGGCAAAATTGCCCCTGGTTGCAAACCACTGCTCTGCACCAGGCTGTCTCCCTTACGGGGCCCAGAGAAAGAATTTCAAGTCCTAAGATTCCTTCTCCTTCCCTACTGATCTTCAGATCACATAAACAAAACCACCAGGGGTTTACTAAAAAAAAAATTTTTTTTTATTACAGATAAGTGAAAGAACAATTCAGAGATGAAGTCAGAGATGAACAAAACCAGACACTGGGGGCTCAGCAGATGACTTTGTTCCTGTGGGTCACAGAGCAGCCAGGTCTCCGGGGCACACAGCCCAGCCTCCAGGCCAGGCTGCTGTGTTGGCCACTGGCACCCTCTGGCCTCCCGTTTGGCCTGGCTCATCAGCGACTCTAAAGCTGAGGTGTTAGAGACTGGTGATGGCTTAGGTGTTTGCTCATATGGGGCTGAAAGTCAGGATGGAATTTCTGACGCTGGGGAGCAGAACTGTCAAGTCTCTGCCCTCCCATTTCATTTCTCTCTCTCTCCTTTCTCCTTTTGTGACCCTTTCCTTCCCTGAGACGGGAAGGCTCCTGAGTTGACCAAGAGAAAGAGGAGAGAAGTGAGGACTCACCATCTGGGAGCATCCCTTTCTTTCCTGCTAAGTCAAGGAGACTGGGGATGTAGTAGAGGTCCCCCAGAAGGCTGTGCTATTCCTCGAAGGGAGTGATGGATGGGCTGTAGGCAACTGCAAAGTCACACAGCTGATGGTCAGTCTGCCCCTCGTGCCAGAACCATCTGCCCCGGCCCATTCCCAAGCTCAACCCTTGGGACCAGATTCCCAGCAAGGGACCACATCTGCAGGACCCTTGTCTTAGTCACGTGGCATCTGCAGTACCTAGTACAGGTCTGGACATAGAGCCAGAACTCAGTGAAGAAATACTAATGAATGGATGAGGAGATGGTCCCTAGTCTGGCAGAATCCCTGGTCTGGAGAATGATGGTCCCCAGTCTGGCCCTACTCTTGTGGAGCCTCAGGCTGACGGAAGAAACAGTCCTGGTCTGATGAGGGACTGAGGGTTCTGCAGCTGAAGCAGCTGGGAGCACTCAGATCCAGCCACAGGGCTCCCTCAACCTGGGGAGCAATGAGATAGAGGGGAAAGAACCACCACCAGCCCTAACATGGAAGGGCCCAGCATCCTTGGCAGGGGCATGGGCCCATGGAGGGATGAAGGCCAGCCACAGGGCCACAGGGACAGAGACAGCACGACCCAAGGAAGTGAACACCTCAGCTCCTTAGTCTTGTGGCCTCAAGTCCTAGCTCTGAACGTTGGGGTCCAGCATGAGGGTGGTTCAGGCATGCAAGGGCCAGCAAGGAGCTAGTCTTGCAAAAGCAGCACAGAACTTGCTGGGAGAACCCCAGTTCTTGAGCCTTCTCCTTCAGTGAAGCCAACCTGGGGAGAGAAGGATGAAAATGGACATTTTTCAAGCACTTATTATATGCCAGCTGTTTATCTCACTCAGTTTCACAAACGTCTTATGGGGATGACATTATATCATAATATGGGGGTAGATGAAAGTATCCCCATTTTACAGACGATGAAATTGAGGCTTAAAGAAGTGAAGCCACTTGCCCAAGTCTCCTCACTCTAAAGCTGGGGCTC